ACTGTGGATCAACAGGAGAACGCCGACGCTTAAAATCACCTTGTGGTACGTAGACACGGGCATAAGTCAACGTTTATGCATGCATTACACGACTACTGCTTCGACTACCAGTTGTACTGTAAAAATAATCAGCAGGTACATTGAGTATCGTTCAACATTATGCAAGACAGCAAAATTTTGCTTCAGCACTTAAGCAACGCGCCGAATATTTACTCAAAAATACTGAAAAATCTTGATGTGGCACGAAGCATTATGGCTAAGCCATGTCAGCCGATAAAGTCAGATCATCCGTTATCGTTTTATGCCGTCTATTAATTTTTGCCGTTCAACAGCAACAAGTTCAATGCCCCCTCATTTAACCCAAAAAAACGAACCAAATGAATGAATAAAACAGAAAAATAAAATCAATTTCAGAAATTTGCATCATCTCTAGCTTCGTTTCTTTGCTTAGTCGCATTCAACCAATAGAGTTTGTAACCATTAGCTTCCATTGATGTCGTCTCATACAAGCACAAGGCCATTAATATCTTCAATAACAATGCACACAATTCGTTTTTCTCCCTTAAACGGGTTCATTCAGCGAGAGTCCAGTAAGTTAGCATGCTGTAAAGTGCAGAACTTAATCGGCTTTCCTTCATTCTTCATTAGCCCGCTTTCTCAGCACCCCCTGAAGTTGTGGAGGCGACCGTTAATGCCTTTCTACGCAGTAGTCCTTCCGTTTCTGCTTGGTTTTGTTCAGGTAATTGCTTCTCCCTTTTTCCTACTCTGCTCATTACCAGCCTGCTACTTCTTTATCTTTTATCACATACACTATCCGTGATCTACCCGTGTATTGTGTCTCTGTGTGTTTCTTGAAATCATGACCTTAAGCAGCTTGTGTAAACAAAACGTTTCTGGTTTGTGATTTCCATTGTATCGGCAGCCGTTCAACACTATTGCCATAGGGCACAGGTTTCAGCATCGTAGAAGAAAATATTTTTTTAGAAACCAAATCAGTCTTTACATTGCTCCCTAATGTCGCATCCTGGTCTCCTGGCGAACGTCTGCCGTGGTTCGGCTCCCAAGAAGCTCACGGGCTAAAGTAAACTATGTATGCTCAAACAGTTTGTCGAGCGGTGTTCTCAATTTCCGCTTCTACTAAGATGGCCTGAGCCTGGAAGAGCATAGAGTCTCTCTCTGAGCAGTCTTACCGTTCAGTCTTTTATTTTGCGCTGAAGTCAACGCTGCAACGCAGTTCAACAGTCATTCATGCTTCTTCGTCAAAAAAACTGACCTCAAAAAATATGTATCTGACTGATGCAAGGTACAGATAAATTTGCCTCTGCTGCGTAACTTCCTTCACAGTCCAAATGATGAACAGGTTTCTAAAACAATTTGAGATTAGGGCAATCTACCTATTTAACTCTGCTGCATATTGTCATCGCTCGAGATTGCGGAGCCGAAAAATCAAACTTTGGAAACTCATCACCTTCACTTTCTATCTATAGACTCTATAATTTTCGGCTTTGGAGCGTAAAGGAAGAAACCAGTTTTAAAACAGTTTGAAAGTTTATATTTTGCGTTTTTTGATTATTGCTCTTGGTCGATTATTCCAGAATGTAGTCAGCTATCAGGTGGATCGGGCAGAACAGTAGCATTTAGACAGAATTACCGTATGTCTTTCTAATGTTTTGTAACCATGCCAGAACACAATGATGTTCATGTTGCTCTCAAGTTTCAGCTTATTTTCTCAAAGCAAAGCGATGGGAATTCTATGCTTAAGGGAATCAGCAATTATTAGAAATTTTTTGGGATTCGAACCCGGCGTGGGCTGGAATTTAATACTTATCATTTACCACTGTGTCTAGAAATAATGAAAAATATGTTCTTATGCAGTTTCACGTGCATATCAGTGTATACCACGATGACCTCTGCTTTGTGGTAATTCGCAGGTGGAGTCAAAAAAGTAGAAAACTCGTTTTCGAAAAATTATCGAGTAACAGCTATGTCAAAACCTTCACAGCCTGGCGTTAGTAAATTTGACAAATGAGCTATGAAGGTGTCCGTAGTCTGGAAGAGTTACACATTAACGAATCTCTGATAGCACGGATTTTGATGCTATTTTTTGATCGCATGCGGAAGTTTCCTATATGTAGAACGTCTTATTTTACTATATTCAGTTCTTATTAACCTCCAAGTCAGTAACAGCGGAGAAACATAGTCTCATTGAGGCAAAACTGAGTGATCGACAACTCGTTTTTCATAAATAGAAAACTCGTCGCATAATGGACTGTTTGCGAATCGTGGGTGTTATTCTATGAATGATGGGTGCGAAGGAAGGAAAACTTTATCATGAATACAGCGCGAAAAAACTGGGCTGATGCTCTGGAACGAAAAGCAAAAATTTTAATGCGGAGACTTTTGACGTGTTGAATCTTAAGTTGATGATGCGTCAATTATGAAAGCAGTGACTGCCATCATAATACCATGATAAAATATTCGATGTTATCCGCATACCAGCAGTCAGCTTTCATCATCCAGGGAGCATCTGAAAAAGCGTCTAAGTGCTACAGAGGGTATGTGCATATCAAAAAACAAGTATTAGATATGACTGAAAACCTTTTGCGACCTAAAAGGAACGACACCTCAACAAACATAAGAACGTAGCAAAACTTAAGTAAATTAATGAGACATTTCCACTGTATTCTTGCGTTAAACATGGATGCTGGAAAATTCGAATCAGGCCATCGAATTCCAGGAAATGACCACAGTGCTATGTTAGGTACTCGAAGTTATCAACATCTGTTCAGATTACGGACTATTTAAAATCAGCTGAACGAAGTCTACGCCTGGTTACGAGTTTTAAATTATGATTTGAGAACATATCTTTAAGAGCTGAATACTATGTATCTCCCGTTTCTTGCAGGTATCCTGTTTCACAGTTTTGCTTCTTATACGTGACCGATTTTGATTAGGTCAGATTTGGTTTTATCAAAGGTCAGTTTTTAGTGTTACTTGGTGATTATGACTTCAATGCAACTTAGTCCCGGTTAATTTGTGTACATTTTCACTTCATCGTGCCAATAAGCATGATTCTTTTGTCATCCATTTTGATCGGCAAACTCTAACGTGGGCAATTTCACTAACTTTCGGCTCAGAGCAATACGCATTTGAGATTTTCCACCGAGTTTCAAGGGCTATCGTTATGACTAAGCATATAATAGACGTACAGACATACGAAATTCGTGCGCTATTGCGACCTACTAAATGTCAGGCTTGTAGTAAAGCAATCTTACATAGCAGGCCGAAGACTCCGCTTTTCTAAGCTCAGTCTATACAAGATGACAACATACAAAAGCACCTCGAATCATGTGGATCATTCAAATGTTTGTCCGAAGATACGTCTGCGCAATCACAGTTTATCAACATGCTTAGAAAATGAAATTACTTTCATGCCATCTACATTGTCTTGCGCACATTCCCATGTCGTTAAACATTTATTTGACTATTCTTAACGTAATGCAATGCTTTGTTCACCTTACTGCTTTTTTGCACGTTCTTCATTCTACTACTTCCTTAGATTTTTGCAGTCAGGTCTATTGCTTTACACAAATTAATTTTGGTATACATCGACCTATCAACTGGGAACGACGGTAAATTACCGAGTAATACGGCAAATGTTATTTCACCGAGTAATATCGCAAAGTTGCACCGCACCATCACTTTCATATGCCATTTAAGTTATCCGCGGCTTCATTGGATGAGGGGATGCAAAACAACGTCACTAAGTACGATAGGAACCAGGTACGTACACATGCAAGCTCGAAGTTGTGAACACTTGTTTTCTTATGCATACTTTACTCTGTTGTCTGTTCAGCCTCTCACCGTCACGTTACATAGCTTTGCTTAATTATTTATTATTTATCCAAATTGTGATAACGTTCGCTTCTTCTTGTTCATGTGATACCATGCGCATCAAATACTTTATTTTCTTCAGTTATCTGATTCAACCTATAAGGTAAAGCGTGTTTTTCAATGGTAAATTCTTGCTGTAAATTCCTAATCTTCATTAACATCATTTTTTGCCATAAAAGCTGTCAACCGGATGCTTCAGTTGTATAAAGAATTCCTGTTCTCCATGTGAAATCCCATTGAAGAGGTTCAAACTAACAGGTTATGCAAAGAAACTTTTGGAAATAAAAGGCAATGGACAAATATTATGACAAGATTTGTACTAAATCTTATAATTGATTTTCCTGTTTTTTGATGAATGAAGGCAAATTTTTTTGGCAATATGAAAGATAAGAGTTTATCGCAGTATCGCGAAGCCTGGTCATGAACTGAAGTCAAAGGAGAACGAATCAAAACATAGGAACACCCAGCTAGGCATCTGGTGACACCAGCAGAGCGATTAATCATCACAGAACGACTGTGTTGGCAGCCACCTTAGCCATGTCCCTTTATTTGGCTCCTGAGTTATCCTAATTTGCATAATGGCTTAATGCTGCGTTTTTCATGTTTGAACAACTTTTGCTCTTCAAGTGCATATTCTTCTTCTAATAATTACTGATCAAAAAACGTTGTTCTTTTTGAGGTTATGTATTCCACCACACGAGGTATTCGATAGCTTACTTTGATGTTTTAATGCATTCTTTCAATTTAATGTTCAACAGATACTGCTGGCGTTCCATATGGCATGACTAAAGCCACCTGAGGCCATCCTTCGGCAGAATTCAGATTTATCATCCATGAGACAGAAAGGATGCAAAATTTTGCACACGAAGTTGCAAATAAACAGAGTATTGTTTTCGTGATAAACTGTAATCCATATTTCTAAGCTTATTTTCATTTTCATCATTTAAATGGATATGTAGCAGCATGGCTGTAGTCTAAATAAGCAATAAGAGCTAAATTGTCATTGCAACATTTACAACCGGACAGCATATTCTATATCGGAAAGATGCCTGTCACTATTTCTTACCAAGTGGAGATGATCTGATACCACTAATCGCAAGCAATCTAAAAGTTTGCAAGGTCGCTAAAGATGATGATGAAGAGAACCCATACTCAGTTCTTCAGATATGAAATACACTTCAGAAACCCGTTCAATGCTGAATTTTTAGTGTACGGTAAGAAAAGTATGTAAAATTGCAGCATTTACTGTAGTGGATTCTACTGTTGAAACTTCAAACCAAAATCTATCAATAACATGTGGAAGCCTTAAGAAAAATCATAAGCAGATGTGTAGGACCTCCTGCAAATGCTTTCCGTCACGCTTGGTATGTTTATGTTCGTTGGCAAATTTCATAAATGCAGCTGATCGCGTTCTGATGCCAATCGCTATTCTTGGCTTGGCGAAAGAATACGGCTACAGCTTGTACCAGCAAGGATGGATCTTAAGCGCATTTCCAGCCGGCTACATCAGCAGTCAGGTATTAACGATAGTATATTTTTGTGCTTCTTTTTGGCACCTGTATCTTTCAGATCGCAGGCAGCTGCGCTGGTGCCCAGTTTGGAGGTCATCGTCTGTTGGCCTTCATCGTGTTCATGTGGTCAGTCAGTACCCTTGTGACGCCGAAACTGCCTTCCCTGTACTCTTTACTTATTGCGAGAGTTGTATTGGGCATCGGAGAAGGACTTGGTATGGGTTGCTTACTGTCAGTTATGTTTATTTTACCTATTCGACTCTAGTAACCATGCTAGCAATGTGATGATGCCTTTTGCTCTGTTAAGAAGTAGAAATTATGCTACGTTTCGGAAACTGATATCTAGATTACTGTCAGGTATAAGCAGCGTACAACGTTTTGATTATGACAACTCTTGATTATTCTGACAATTGGATTAAGCAGTTAATTTTTAAAAGCTGCATATCGTAAGAGTTGAAGAAGTTAACTGGGCTTGTTTATTAATTCATAGTACTTACACATTGTGCTGATTATAAAATTGGATAGTCAGGTTGGTCAAGATAAAGCTGTAGATTAAGTGGCGCTCGCATTTGGCACAATGATCGTATTTCTGGCCCATTCTGGAATGTTCGCACCAGGACATCATGCCATCCCAACTGTTCCCAAGTCAGCGACTTAGCAGTTTTTTGGCTTGTTGCACGAGTGAAACAATATAAGATGAATTCCTTGTTCAAGGCGTAAGCGATAATCAGTAGGTTATTTTGAAATTCGAACTCGCAGTCTGGAGTTCTAAGTCGACCTCTTGCCCTCCTCAAAATACTGGTATTCGGTTAAAAAGCTCTGGATTCGAATACTAATTTTTTATAATTAAAATGAAATAGCCGCTAACTGATGTGATATATATATGATAATAATTCATTTTTCAGTTATATCTATATATGGC